CCAGGGCTGGTTTAGTCGTCGACCACCTGATAAAAGATTTCATGTACATATAACTTTCAACTTACATAACGTTCTAGACAATCTATTTTTAGCCGCCCCAGACGTACAATATTCATCTGCCGTCCGTCAAAGAAAGCCTCTCTCACACTGAATACTGCTATTGGCATTTAGTTGATGCTTGAAGAACGCAACCAGATGATGGAAAAAAAGAGGTTATTCTTTGTGAAATTCATTCATCCGCGTTGTTATGGCGAAATAGCCAGTTCCGCTGCAAAAGTTTCTAGAGCACAGAGACCAGAGGTGGGATACCATATCATTCGTGTACATATCAACAAGAATATCTCGATCAGATCATCTTGAACGGTCCCACTAATACACGATATTCTAGACAACAGCCGGATGTCAGAGAGACTAGCCTGCACCCGTGAAAAAATCTCAAGGTGTGTCTGCATTCTCGGGAGAAGGAGCACTCTGTTCGAGGTAAATAGCGAGTCTCACCTTAATCCGAATGCACGCACCTCAAAGATGTAAAGGCTTTCTTGGCATCTTCTTTCCAGAAAGTAATGTTATTGTGATCTTTTGCGCACATCTGATCAAGTAATTGCAAATGCAATATGTGCCTACGTATCTCGCCGTTCAGCATCCCAAAGCCGTCCTCGGAAGGATGAAGATAACAATCTTGGCGACATTGGAGATCAATGAAGCAATAAAAGACATGATGCTTTGGGACCTCAGGATTACGTTTAAGCATGAAACCAGGTGTCGCCATTTAGTGTTGGCACCTATGTTCACATTACTTATATGCTTTGTCCCTGATATTTTCTTACATAAACAAACTACACTTCACAATCTTTATATATATAATGTGTGTGTATATGTATGTATATGTATCGCAGATAGGAACAGAGGAACACATGGTGCTTCTTCTTATATATATATATATATATATATATATATATATATATATATATTGTGTATTTGGGCAGGCTTCCTTGATACATTCTACATATTCAAACAAAACTCACCCTTGATAATGGCTAATGGAGTGGCCAAAAACGCACTGATCTATAGATCATTTGGCCAGTTCTTACACAATCGCCCCAAAAATAAATCACTTGTACGAATACCTGAAAAATATAATAAGCAACTTAATTGCAGCGACTTGTCGGTCGTCTTCAATGAAACCAATATATATATATATATATATATATATATATATATATATATATATATATATATATATATATATCTGAACGGATGCGCCAAAAGCAGGAGATCTCTGTATTTTTTGATTAAGTACTGTTATGTCTGCGTTTTCCATGTCGAGAGGATATGTATTTGTAGTATGTGTAGTAGTATCCGAAACAAAAGTGAAGATGATGGAACAAAGTGGAAAAGTTTATATAAAAGACGCGTTTCGCCGGAGAAAGCTTATGTTCTCTTTGGCATCATCAGTTTGACTAAAAGAAAGTTCCTATGTGTTAGGAAAATGTCTTAAGATCCCTGAGGATAAGTGGGTATCGTAAATCAAAGTAATTACCCTAGCTTATTACTTCCTCACGAGACTTGAGAGGGTCTGTCTGCCTCTGTGTTTGTTTGTTTTATCGTTATATATTCAACATTAGTGGGGTTTGGTGAGTTAACAAGTAATAAATTAAGATCTATGTTATATAAATTTAAACCTGCTTCTATGTCTACATTTTGACATTAGTTCGTTCCTTTGATTTAATAGTTTGCATTGATTTTTATTATTCTAATTTTTCCCTCTTATAATTTCGGATAAATGGAACGTTTTCATCAACGATGCTCTCGATTTTTAGTTGAAATCCACTAGATGTCTCATACCACTGATACTGTTGTTCTACAAATGGTCAATTCACTCTCTGTGGAAGCAATTATACTCAAATGAAGATTGCCATGGACAGTCCATGTTATTCGTATGGCAGATGACAGAATGCCAAAACAATTAATGTATGTAGAATTGGAAATGGGAAAAAAACCGCAGCACAAGACAAAACTTCGTTACAAAGATTGCCTTAAACACTCACCATGCAAGTGCAATATTGGTTTGGATAATTGGGAGACTCTAGCTGAAGACCGGATTTCTTGGAGAGCTGGTATTGCTGATGGCGTCATGATCTTCCATGAGGCATCACAAAAATATACAGAACTGAAGAGAGGGGTTCGGGAGGGATCCCTGAATTGCCATGAGGTGACAACCTGGCCATGTGTCCAATGCAGGCGGATGTCTGTCCAGTGCAGGTCTGCTCAGTCATCAGAAAGGACACCAGCACAAACAGTCTATTGCATATGACGATTTCTTAATGGCATGCTTTGAATGCACGACCTGTACTAGGGTGTGCAAGTCCATGTCGGTCTTTATAAGATATATAAAAAGGCACATTGGAAGTGATGTTGATCAAAGTCAACTTCCACCACCCGGAGATGATTTGATATGCCACATATATAACAAGAAAGTAAGATCGATGGCTGCCTATATGAGCCACTGTCGTTCACACAACCAATGAATGTAGTGTGATGGCGGTGGGGTTTAACTGATGGTCTGGACATGTCAGTGATGGTCATACTCGCTATGAGTCGACAGCTACTACACACACACACACACACACACACATATATACATGTATACATACATACACACATGCATGTACACATACACGCACATGTATACGTACATACACACACATTCACACATACATACATATATACACGCTTACATACGTGTGCCTACATACACATCCACCCATACATATACATGTATTAGCGCCCGTTTTATTTTTTATACTTGTACATACATACATGCAGACATATACATGTCCATCGATATATACTTGTGCACATACACACAAATATAATAGAGGCTTATATATGTGTGTTTGTGTGTGTATGTGTATACCTGTATACACTTGTATATGTATATGTGCATCCTCATATACATCCGTACACACAAACACACACACACACACACACACACACACACACACACACAACTATATAATATACAATTGCTGATACAGGCTGATTTAAAGGTAACTGCCTGTTTTATGTATGATGGACTCTCCCGTCTTGTAAAAAATATAGTTAAACGGGAGAGTCCATCATATATAAAATAAGAAGTTATTTTTAAGTCACTCTGTAGATAAATAAAATAGCACATAGGCAGACACGCGTGCGTGTGGGTGGGTGTCTGTGTGTGTGTATGTGTGTGTGCAGTCGCAGTGACTGGTATAAATTGTTGATTTATGGTGATTTTTTTTTAATTTCCTTTCTAAGGTGAACACGTAGAATTTCGATAGTGTTGACACAAAATCATAGATTTGTGTTTAAGGTGAAAAGGGATTATGTGTGTTGCACACGTTGATTTTGAGAATTGCAGATTTTACTTTTTGTGGTATATCTTGTCCATGTTATTTTTACATTAAATATCCGAACGTCCTAATTCCAAAAAAATAATAAAATAAATATAAAGACATGATTGATATGCCTGTTAAATAAATCATTTTTATTTACAAATATATGGACATGAATTCAACAGATGAAAAAAGAAGTAAAAAATAGTCTTTATTTGAGTCAAAATCTTTGGTTAGTTGATCCACAAACGAACCTATAGTTTATAAAAAAAACTTTGATCGTCAGCGAATTTTCATTAAACCCCCTAGCTGTTGTTGTAGATGATTCGTTTGAAGTCGCCGGCACATGTTTCTTTAAGCCCGCACTTGAGGAAGGAAAAAGCTATGTAGCCACGTCTTCTTTTGTGTGTGAACGGCTCCTTGAAAGTCGAAATCCGTGGGGTTTTATAAGAATTTTTTCCCAGCAAGTAAACTTGATAAAAATAGGGTTTCAGTTTACTTTGATTGGTCAAATATTTCACATGGCTATGTTAATTTGTAACCTATAGACGCTTTGAACTTGAACGGTGTGTTGTGGAATCTTTTTGGCAGGTTTGTAACATTGTCTTTTTATTGAGTAAAAAATAAAGTTTTTACATATAGTATGTATGTGTGTATGTAGCGTTTTTTTCATATAATCTAATTTGTATCTTGAATAAATCTTTATTCTTAATATCACGGCTTATATAAACTTATTGTTTGAAACAATTTCTTATTTTTTTATTCTTTCAAACAATTTCTCTTCTTGCTATACGTCCTGCTATTTTAAACTAGAGGTTCTATCTTCTATATGTATATGACATGATATGGGTGATCATGTTGCTCCACAATTTCCTGTTGTTTGCAGCTCTTAGTAAATTTTGTCTTTTTGCTATCTCCTAAACTCTGTTCTGCCATCAGTTTACACAAGTTCGTTAGGTAGGTTATGCACTGTTTTCCTCTGTGCTAATTACTTTCATTATGTCCTGTGAGTGTCAAATTTTCCAAGCCCTCTTTCTTCATTATGTGCCCTAGAAATTTCAACTGTCTCTTTCTGACGTTAAGTATAAGTGTTTCCATTTTCTCTAAAACTTCATGTTCAGTCCGTGATATTCTCGGCATCCTTCTGTAGAGCCATATTTCTATTCCCAAAACTTCAGCTAGAAAACCATTTTTTTTTTACTTTTGAAGCCACAGGAAAGTAGCGTTCAACCTTAATCATAAAGCTTTCAATTGAGTAAAATAAATAAAAAAAAAAGAACTCAAGTTTTTCTATTAAGACTATCACCAAGGCGGCAGATAAAAAATAAAACAAAAAAAAACTATCGTAACCAAAAGAGTAACGACACTCCGCATCAATTCCCGCTAGGGGTCGCATCATGCATGAAGCAGCAGTTGAAGTGCGACATTGAAATGGAAAGAATTAATTCTGAACATTGCATGCGCAGATGAAATTTGTAGAATTTTTTTTTTTATTAAATCCGAAAGAATGCCTGAGAATATTCGTGAAATTTGTTTCTTCTTAGCTTTATCAATTGAGTAATAGGAAGTCAGATATGATTGGATATGTTGCTCGCATATTTGTCATTGTCCCGCCATGTGTTTTTTGTCTCAGGTTATATCGATCTTTGTGAGAATGCTTTCCGATGAAGAAAGAATACCGTGGAAATGAGAAAAGAATATCAGGAAAAAGAGGAACGAATAGAGAGAAGGAATGAGAAACGAGAACTTTTTTGTCTGATTTAAACAATTGATGAATAGAGTCAAACGGAGAGTTAAATAGTAGACGGAAAAGCACGACTGAAGGTGTACAGAAAGGAGAGTGGGATATATATATATATATATATATATAGAGAGAGAGAGAGAGAGAGAGAGAGAGAAAGAGAGAGAGAGGGAGATAGATAGATAGATAGATAGATAGATAGAGAGAGAGAGAGAGAGAGAGAGAGAGAGAGAGAGACGTATGTAGAGGAAAGGAAATAAAGAAGAGAAAGATAGGAATGGAGAAAGAGGGGAGAAAGAAGAGTTTAGAAAGAAAAGTAAGGAGATAGAAGACCGTGAGGATGGAGAAGGTGGGAAAGAGAGAATGGAGAAAGAGAAAAAAATAAAAGCGGACAGAAAAGGAAATACAGAAATAGCCAAAAGAAGGGAATTAGTAATTACAAGGGGCGCTGAAAAGTTCTAATTTTTTCACACTTTGAAAAATGTGAGTCACTTTTCAAAGTGTGAAAAATAATCAAAAATCGAATTTTTTTCGTATTTCGTCCGAGCCAGGAGCTTTTCAACACTCCTTGTGATATTCAAACAAAATAAACAGATTAAACAAACGAAAGCAAGAAGAAAAAATTTCAAGTTCAGATTCCACTAAAAGCATCAACAGTACAATCTGTCTGTCTGTCTGTCTGTCTGTCTGTCTGTCTCTGTCTCTCTCTCTCTCTCTCTCTCTATATATATATATATATATATAGTGTATGTGTGTTTGTGTGTGTTTCCAAGCAATTCCTCCGCTCCCACTGGTCCGATTTCAATGATTCATAGCTCACTCAAAAGCTCTCGAAAAGTTAGACGCAGGGAACGATTTTCATTGAGCTCAGATTCAAGGTTGCCAGATTATTCGAGGTTAAAAATGTATATTAATATATTATACTAGCCATTATCGTTGCTTTCATGGTTCAAGGGAAGTAACTCTTATTTTCTTTTTTTTTCAAAATTGAAGCTAACTTAAAATTTTAAACTAGCTTAAAAGCCGCCCTATCGGGCGGCATTTAAACTATCTCTTGTGGAGGAATCCTGGTTGGCCATCATCACAATAGCTGCAGAGGAACTCCAAATTGATTTATGCATTTAAGTATTGAATTAATGTTTAAGCTTACCTTTTAAAAATTCAATGATAATTCTTCAGCTGCCACTTAATTTTAAGATGATTTGATGTACGCAGATTCTTATTTTCCGTACAAACAATTATTTTATTTCATGGGTGACAGAACAGGGGACAATTTATAAGATAAAATTAATATAGTGAAAAGATGGGAAAATAGAAATTAGAATTAGTTATACATTCAATATTTGAAGAGTTAGAAAAACATAAAGGCTAATTAAGTAAAAGCCTGTAATATTTAATCTATGTGAATAAGTACGAAATTGAAGCTCAATTCTCCCACGAATTCTGAGATTAAAAATTCCCAGCTCTACTTTATAGTAATTTACACGCGGTATTTGCTCTGTCTCCCCACTGAGACGAGATGTGACACAAGGTCTTTTTTTAAAGTGGGGACCCGAGCGCGTACACCTGAGCAAGGGACAAAAATTGCCTACAGTTCGCGCAGCCGTCGGTTGCGCAGGACTCAGTGCAAGCACCAATCCCTCTCTCTGGTGCAATGAGAAGGCGCGGCCTTGGGCAGCTGTTCCCCAGGGCTGGGCACCACTCGATATAATTTCTTCAGTTGCGGCTCTGTCCTCTGTCGCCCCAGAGTGCACTCTGCCAAAGACAGAGACGCAACTGAGAGATGATAAGTAATGCGTTAGAAACTCCAACAAGTAGTAATTTACGCGCGGTATTTACTTTGACCCCCCATTAGGTCGAGATGTGACACGAGGTCTATTTTTAGGTGGGGACCCGAGTGCGTACACCCTGGACAGGAACAAAAATTCCCCTCAGCCTCGCAACCGTCGTTTGCGCTGGCCTCGGTGCGAGCACTGATCCCTCCCTTTGGTGCAATGGGAGGGCGTGGCCTCGGGCATCTGTCCCCCAGCAGTGGGTACCTCTCAGTATTATTTTCCTCAGTTGCCCCTCTGTCCTTTGACAGAGAAGCCATTGAGCGCATTCTGCCTAAAGACAGAGAAGCAACCGACAGATGATAAGTAGGAGGAATTTACGCCGTATTTAGTTGACCCCCCACTGAGTCAGGTTGTGAAACAAGGTCAGTTTTTAACGTGGGGACCCGAGTGTTTTCATTCGAGCTGCTGGTCTGTGCTGGTCATAGATTGTCCAAGCTGGTCTAAGCTAGTCATAGCTGGTCTTGGCTTGTCATAGCTGGTCCAAGCTGGTCAGAAGCGGTTCAAGCTAGTCGTAGCCATGATACCACCAGTACAGGGACGGAGCCCTGTGACCGGTAAGGAGATTTACTTGACCCCCAACTGAGTCAGGTTGTGGCAAAAGTCAGTTTTTAACGTGGGGACGCGAGTGTTTTCTCTCGGGCCGCTTGTCTTAGCTGGTCATAGCTTGTCCAAGCTAGTCATTGCTGGTCTTGGCTTGTCATAGCTGGTCTTGGCTTGTCATAGCTGGTCCAAACTGGTCAGAGACAGTCCAAGCCAGTCGTAGACGTGATACCACCAGCACAGGAACGAAGCCTTGGGGCAGGTAAGGATATTTACTTGACTCCCCACTCAGGTTGTGACACAAGGTGAGTTTTTAACGTGGGGACCCGAGCATTTTCACTCGGGCCGCTGGTCTTAGCTGGTCATAGCTTTTTCAAGCTGGTCTAAGCTAGTCATAGCTGGTCTTGGCTTGTCATAGCTGGTCCAAACTGATCAGAGCCGGTCCAAGCTAGTCATAGCCGTGTTACCACCCGCAGAGAAACGGAGACCTGTGACCGGTAAGTATCCGAGCGCGTATTCTAAGGAGGAATTTACGCGGTATTTACTCGACCCTCTCACGAGGTCAGGTTGTGACACAAGGTCGGTTTATTTTGGGGAGCCCGAGCGCGTTCACCCGGGCAAGGAACAAAAATTCCCCGAGCACGCGCAACCGTCAGTTGCGCTGTCCTCAGTGCGTACACCGATCCTTCTCTCTAGTGCAATGAGAAGGCGCGGCCTCGGGCCAGGCACCTCTCAGTATAATTTTCCTCAGTTGTGACTCTGTCCTTTGACGCAACTGTGAGATGATAAATAATGCGAAATTCCTTCAAGGAAGGGTTTACGCGTTATTTACTTGACCCCCCCACCCACTGAGTCAAGTTGTGACACAAGGTCAGTTTTTAACCTGGGGACCAGAGTGTTTCCACTCGGGCCGCTGGTCTAAGCTGGTCTTAGCTGGTCGTAGCTTGTCCATGCTGGTCAGAGCTGGTCTAAGCTAGTCTCACTCCTTATTTCATCTAAAGGTTCTGGAGGCACTTTACATCGGGTCCCGTAAGCCTTCTTTGTGCAAACAACGTGAGTGTTTGTTGGGACTCATTGTTATTTGTCTCTAGTTCCTTTTGCTAATTTTTTTTTCCACAATTCCTTTTATTGTACATTTTTCTGTGTTAATTTTAAATATCCCGTTGAAGCCTGAAGAGCGGGAGCGAAACCGGTTGCTTCACTCGTTTTTTTTTAATATGTCTCGTAATATTAAGTTTTATACTTTTATTTCGATCATTAAATTTTGTACCTACAAAAAATCTTTATATATATATATATATATATATATATATATTCAAATATGTTTGGTTGAATAATACCAAGTGCTGTATAACCAATTTTTATTAAGTTTTTCAAATTTTCGAATTAATAGTTTTATATAAACGTTAATTTTTGTCTGTTTTTATCCCCGCCCCCGAGTACTGTCGTATGTTACTACATTCGTTTTTCAATGATTTCAATGATTTTTTTTTGTCTTTCATGGTGACACCAGTTGTAACGGTCTAACTGAATTTATACGTGTAACTGTATTCTAATTTATTTGTTTTACTTCAATATATGATCGTCTATGGAGAACTATACCTTATTTGATGTTGTCTGTTTTCCTTGTATTAAAACGGCTTCTAGAATTGTAAACAGATGCAACAATATCAAGGAAATACTGACGGAACAGGAAGGAAACAAGTATACATAAAAAAAAGCAAATTTTATGACAGAACAAATAGAAAACAAACGTGAGCAAGCATAGTAAAGTTTACATACATATATCCACACACACACACACACACACACACACACACACATATACACACATATATAAATATCGTAAGAGAGACTGTATTATATTAACTATATTTTATATTGACTTGACAGATGAATACATTTTCATTCTGTTTTATGGGATCCACGTTGGTATAGTAATTTCCCTTCGCCACCACCTCCTCTTATTACTTGATAAAAATAAAATATATATACTAATACGCTCAGTTATACATTATATTTTAAACGTGTTTGTCGTAAGTATATCGGGTGTAACATCAAAACTGTCCAAATCATGTAACATCAAAACTGTCCAAATCATGTAACGGCAAAATTGTCCAATTGTTAGATTAAGATTTGAATCGTTGTATCTTAGAAATGATTAAAGATATTTCACTGGAATTCTCCAAGGACTTTTATAAAAACTATTAGACTCTACTTTGAACAATAAGAAAGTATTTAACTCTAAGTTGAAATGATGATCCCTACTGCCTTTGTAATCTCCTGATCCAATTTTCATTTCTACTGTTCCCTCTTTTTTAACTTATTCACTGTTCTCTTGATGGTTCTTGAAGTTGGAAGCCAGAGTATGAATGTTGGTACCATTACTGAAGTTGTGAAAGATTTTTTCCTCTCACCATAGTTCAGTTAGGAAGACATAGTGAGGCTAACACAAAACAATTTTAACCCGTTCTCTTTCTAGCTGAATAACTAACTCAACGGGTTTTTAGTGAATCTTACGACAAATGGTGTCCAGATGGCTAAAAGCTGGAAAAAAGAAACCCGGTCAGTATAGTGGTTTTTAGGCATTAAACAGTTTGTCGGATGGACAATCATCCCAGGCTGGTACACGATTTGGACAATTTTGCTGTTACACCCAGGATATATATATATATATATATATATATATATATATATATATAACGCGTGTACTTACATCATTTTTGTATGCTTTATGTATATAATAAAAAACATAGTTCTGTTGCAGACTAGTGAATGTATTTTTAGTTAACAGAAGGATTTCTGATGTCAGTGTTCTTAAACATTCATCCACAACAAATTAAGAGGTAAAAGGAAGATTGAAAACAAATCATGCAAGAAAATTCAGAGTGAAGACCAACATAATTAAAAGTGCAACAATAACGGATAAAATCGGGTTGAATTATTTCTGGATAAATGAGGATGGTTGAATTAGATTGTGTAGAGTATTCTTGTGAAGTTTCAGCGTGTGTGAAGCTGTTATTAAGATTTGTTCGTAAAATTAAACTAAGTAGTTGGTTATGTATAAGAATGTCCTTTGTGCGAGTTCAATCTATAGTGTATGTGCGTAAGTTTGTTTAAGTTATTGTTCAGAATTGGTAGGAGTTGGTATCTTTAGTTGTTTAGATGTTTGATTGATTGCCTACGAATACTTATTTAGTAGTGAGTAAATATCACTTTTTAAGTCTTGTAAGTAATTGCTAGAAATTGTTCCTGATAGAGAGTGGTTGTTGTTTGCTGAGTCAGAGAAGTTTGCGCGGTAAAAGTGTAGTTGGTCAAGGTTTTGAATAGCGTGGATTAGTTTGGCATCTCTCCAGGGGTGAAAGTCTGACTGCTGTACTTGCGTGAGTGTTGTAATGATCTTTAACGTCTGACCGCATGGTTAAGACGGACGCTCTAAGAGATTACATTTTGGCAGCAAGAATGAGGCGCAAGAGAGAGAGAGAGAGAGAGAGAGAGAGAGAGAGAGAGATATTCCACGTGTTTTGTTTATATAAGGCTGTGTATCACGTGATCGGCTCCGATCGAAAACGCGGAAAATATCATTCATCTCGTGCAAGCGATCTGATTGGTCGGAATTGACCAATCAGCGAGCTAGTTTTGAGGAGATTAACCAATGAATGCTTGTCGCATGATTTGTATGTATGTGATGATAATTACTAGGAGTGACTGGCAAACGTGGAAGATTCCACAGTTCTATGTGAAATACACACACACACACACACACATATATATATGTATGTATATAAAGAATGGGTGCTCAGTATCATGTGACATACGAATCGATGATGCCTATCAGTTTCAATGTCGCTTCAATGCGATTTTCATACTAGTCACCATCCAGCGTTGATCCCTATCCCTCTGTCTGTCTGTCTGTCTGTCTCTCTCTCTCTCTCTCCTTCCACGCAAGAAAAAGTTGCACACTTCAACAGGAATCGAACCTGCGTCCATCAGGGCAAAATTTAGCCACAATTTAGCCCGGCGCGCCTTACTGCTTGGCCACGGAGGAACAGACGGTCAGGCGAAGGCTATTTCATGTTTCAGCGAAATTTCTTCCGTCATATCTCTCAAATTTTTTTCTTATCTGCACGTAGCCTCGTATCCAAACTTAAGCAAAAAGAGTAGGTAAAAATAAATCAATATACTGTTCAATAAGTAAACGGAGCGTCAACTCAAATACGAGTATCCACTACAAATAACGTTTAAATCTTGGATCAAAAAAAGATTAAAAATCAATTTTAAAATTTCTCTTTGTTTACATTTGGATACTAAATTATGTGCAGATATGAAAAAACTTCGAAAGATCTTTGACGGGAGATTCGTACTTTGATTTTCTTGATCGGAACGTTCAAACCAATCTGCCAGTTTTGAGGAAAGAGTCCATTATCTAATGTGATCAGTAATTGAACAAGGAAAGTCCGTTCAAAACCTTGGTCACAATGTCTTCTGATTTCCTGTTGGCACAACCATCTACTGCTTCGGAACATTTTCGTTCCCCTAATTTCACTCACGAAGCTTAGGTAAATTCGTGGTTTGGTTTTAGGTACTTCCCAGCGGTCCCGCACGATGAGATCATCTTCCCAGATCGATATCATTGACAAATCGACTATAAAAATAATTAAAACAAATTATTTATCTGTTCCTCATTTCCATGTTTGACATGAAAATGTCAGTAGCGAGAAGAAATAAATTTAGAAATTGCTTTGTTTACGTTTCAGCATAAACTGAGCATAATGGGTTTTCGAGAAAAATAATCAAGGGTAAAAAGGAAAAATAGTCTTGCTGTGACGTACTTCGTGGCCAAGCGGTAAAAGACGTCAGATCAGACTGTTGTTCCCGCTACAAAGTGAAACGTAGGTTCGATCCCTACCGGAGAACACATTTTCTTTACTAAGATTTCTTGAATACATATACGTAAAACACACTATTTAATAGATAAAAAAAGACGTCAATTTCAAATACATAGCGTCTACTATAATAACGTTTGAAGTAATTTATATATCGGATTAGAAGTAAATATATATATATATGAATAGTACGTGCGTACATAGAGTACAGATTACTTATTTGGTTCTTCCATCAACGAAAACACTTATAATTCTATACATATAAATGTTTCTCGTTTCTCTTTGTCGTTGCGCGCGTATAATATATATATATATATATATCATACTGCACATATTTTTGTTCAGGATAGGAAATCTGTTTGCGATTTCTACACAATTTTCGATATTTTTTCTTGCTTTTTTTGTTCTCCTTTCAGACAAACTACAAATTTCCGACCGCATAGCAGCTGCTTCGAGCTTTTTGAAGTCGGATTTCTCAATACTTACCAAAAGAGAAAAAAAAAACATGTAACATACAACTATTACTGTATTTCAAACCTACGGTAGATATCACTATGGCATTGCTTTCGTGTTTCTTCATAGATAGCAAAGTTCATTCTCAATCTAGTCTGCGTTTATATTAAGTGCCTTAAACAATATAGTAAAAGGAATAAAGAGGAAGGAACTATTAATTGCAAGAAGTCAGAATACATGGTTGCAAGTGAAAGTGATAGCTGAAGGTGTGAGTTATGTATTAGAGAGATTAACATCAAGCAGGTGCAGAAATTTAACTATCTGCTTTGTGTAGTCACAGACAACGGAAAATATGATATAGGAATCTGAAGACGCATAGTAATAGATGTCTTCAGAAAGAAAACAAAGTATTAAGAAATAGGAAAAATGTCTTTAGAAAAAACGAAAACAAAAGCATGACGAGCTGCTATATAACACTGAATGCTGGACAATCTTCTCACGAATAAAGAAGAGATTTGAAGTGATAGGGAAGTGGTTCTACAGATGAATGCCGAAATAATATGGACAGTGCATACGATCGTCAAGAATGTTTTAAGGAAAATTGGAACTACAAGGATACTGCAATCTGAAAGTGACAGTTGATTTTGGAATGAGGAAGGCGGTCTTGGAGAATTAAAAAGTCATAAGAGAGTTAAGTGTCATATGCAATACACTTTTGGGCGATCATGTATCTTTCAATACAAGGAGCACTTCGACGTAATCTAATAGTTAGTAAGTTTGTCTCGCGAAATCAGTTACGACTGAATAGTGAGTTCGATCCTCACTGGGTACCTCATAATTTCGGCCTTGTGTCATATCTAAGTTAGTTACGCTAAAAAAGCATAATGGTTAGCAAGCTTTTTTCGTTAGAGCAATTACGACTGAATAGGGAGTTCGATCCTCACTGGGTACCGCATAATTTCGGCCTTGTGTCACATCTAAGTTACGCTAAAAAAAAACCATAATGGTTAGCAAGCTTTTTTCGTTAGAGCAATTACGACTGAATAGTGAGTTCGATCCTCACTGGGTACCCCATAATTTCGGCGTTGTGGCTCATCTAAGCTACGCTTAGAAAACTATAATGGTTAGAAAGTTTTTTTCGTTAGATCAATTACGACTGAATAGGGAGTTCGATCCTCACTGGTTGCCTCATAATTTTGAACTTGTGACACACCTAAATCAAGCTTAGAAAATCACCATCATTGACTAGGTAGAAGATTTTTTCCCCGTAGCAGGTAGCTGTTTCTTTCTGCGGTAGTCTGGTTGATCACCAAGGCTCCAGGACTCAGTCTGTTCTCCAGTTCGACAACCAGCTGCGTGGAGAAAAGATGGATTCATGCCTTTTCCGATGGTATTTACGCGTAAGTGAATGTAATGAACACGACTGGAATTCCGAGCTGTTATGCAAAACATACTGAAGGTAAAAGAAGCAGGATGAAACAACGAGTAACATAATGGGTTTGAGTGAATGGATGGCAAAACGACGACAAAATGGTGAAGGGTTAAAATATACTCAGAGCAACAAAAAGACCGCCCATAAAACTAAAAAAAAAAATGAAATTTTCTATTTTCTTAAATTTTTTGTGTTTCTTGTATCAATAGGAATTTCAATCCTTTACATTAGACAATTTCCTCATAGATGAAAAAATAACGTTGCGCTTTTACCGACGAACGCTGAGAAAACCTTAGACAGAATATATGAGTAACGAGAATATTTTTTTTCCAAGGGATACGTGCGCTTAAGTGAATATGACCAACCCAACGGGAATTGGAACTCGACTGTCAAAATGAACAATTCCGAGCCAGTATCCATTACACCACCTACAACAATCCAAGTTTACAACACCTGGTATTCCGAAGCAGTCACCCATCTAGGAGTTGACAAGGATCGACGTTGCTTAACTTTGGTAATCGTACAGGAACCGGTGTTTCAATGTGATATGGCCAGAAACAGGAAAAGGCAACTGAGAAAACATAACTTTCACGGGATACACTGAGGGCAAGAATAATAGAAGTCAGCGAGCCACTTACCTGAGGAGTTTGTGTAAATGGATGGCAGATGCGGGGATTGGAGCAAAGGATAAAAACTGCTAAGAACCACAAAGAGTAGGAAGTTGTGGAGAGCCATGATGCGCTATACTTGTTGCTTTTTGCTGGACTAAACCTATTGCAATTAATATATATATATATATATATATATATATATATATATATATATATTACTGCTTTACTCAGTTGTGCCAGTGGTCGATGTTCAAGTGCAGTTAAAAGTCATGCTTTCAAATGCCAATTTACAAAACAAGCTTTCTCTACTTTTTTAAATAATAAAATTCACCAATTACAAGGCTCGAGAGTCTCTCAAGGTAGAGTGTTACTGTTAAAATGGTGATGAAGAATGAGTTATGTAATACGAATGAAAGAGGAGGCGGTAGGAATCGAAGATGATGTGGATAAGCACCGACAAAAGAGTCTGCAGCAGTTCTTGAGGAAAATCTACCTAAGTGAAACTTTCTACTTGTACCCGGAGACGCAACACAATCTTTCTATTCCTCATTTTCGTCATTTAACTATGTACACCCTACCGTTTATATAAGTAATAATTACGACTTTTACTTCCTGTTGTAAGCCATGTTCGACCTTTCATATGACAGCAATATATATATGGGGAATGTCAAGTTTATATTTATATAGCGTGTTTTAAGGGTGATTTTTGTCATCCGGCATTTTCTCTGGCCCGCCAATGGCCTGCACCCAAGAGTGCCGGACTGAAGAGGTTGGAGGATATTATTATTATTATTATTATTATTATTGTTATTATTATTATTATTATTATTATTCAAAAAGAAAAAAGTATATTCAATATCTTGTTTAAAAAAAACCCCAAAAAACAAAACAGATCGCTGATAACTTTGGTACACATAATATTTTTCACATCACCTTCAGAAGAATCTGTTCCTTTCGTATTTCTCTGGAGAAATTTTAGAACTGGACGCCATGAATCATAGGAACAGCACTTTGGTCAAGTTTTGATCCGAATTTTTAATCTGGCCCCGGTGGTTTCATTGTACTTTCTTCTTTTTTTTTTTGAATTTTTTTCTTTTTGACAGATTTTTGTTGATAAATCTTACGGTTTTCTGGTCTTTTGGTATAAATGAAACAGTTTTTCAGCACCAGAAATTCTTGTTGTAACCGATTTATATGACATAGAAAAGTTTCTGGTTGTATCATCTGTCTTTAAAAGAATTACTTTGTCAGTGTTGTAAGCCGTTATTCAAATGTTCGATTTTCTCTGAGTGCTATATGAATGTAGCCTCACGTAGTTGGCCGAGTGCGACAAATATCGACAAAGACGTTTTCCGGCTTCGGTGCTTGCACTTCCGTTATGACTGGCTCAAAAGCGTTTACACATGATAATAGTTCCTACAGTAGCAAGTAGTATTGCTGTTCTTTTGTTGTAGTTACTGCGATTATGTAGATGATGGTGAACTAATGCCGCTGAAGTCTGTATCTTCACATCTGAAGCTTTTTAGTGTTGCTAACTACAGCCGAGAATCAAGAAACAGTAGCTCTTGTATTCTCACCGACCAATACCATTAATTACAACTTCTCACTTATTTTCCCGGTTATTTGACTGTTCCAGTCTCTTGAAAAAGTCGTTGGAACTCTTCTGTGTGCTACAGTAATTGTCGGCACGTGTGGAGTGAACAAAATAAGTCATAGAACTGTCCAACAAAAAGAATTAACAAAGATTGCAATAAACAATAACAAAAGAAAAGAACAGGGACAGTAATATAAAGCAAGCAAAAAATATATGCAAAACAAATAAGGCAAGGCAATAGTAATTTGGCAAAAAGTTCAGAAACTAAAAATTGATACACAAAAGCAAATTCGGACAAGCGAACGTAGCTTTCTGACTTCAAGACAAGACAGACCGGGACTGAGTCAGATAAAACCGAGAACTGGCCTATTTTATTGGCTAGGAAAAAAAATCCCAGAATTCATTTGTGTGCCTCTGCCTATAAAATGTAGAGGGAAAGTATTTTGCAGCTATTCCCAGTGAGATTGGAATCAACAGCAGAATTGATCTGATACTCGTTTACAAATTTGTTTGTTGTGAATGCTCACAGATAAAGAGGAGACTTAAAGCAATAGAAATGTGGGATCATATGAGCAACGAGAAAGCTTTAAGGAAAATGGAAACAAAAAGATACTTATACTTAGGATTTAAAAGATGCAGTTGAAATTTGGGCAACCCGAGGAAAGAGGGTTTCGAAAAAATAGACATTCGTCTGATATATTGAAGACGAGAGAGACGACGGGAAGCAGTAACATCATGGGCTTGCGCAAATGGAAATCAGAACAGGGACTAAAAGGGATACTAAAGAAAGAAAACTTGCTTAGGGCTATAAAAGATAGTGAGTTATACAAAACAATTATTGCCCATGTCCTGAAAGGAAACGGCGCAAAAAAAGAATAGGAATCATTTTTATTGTTGTTTACTAAGTTTAGCTTAGTTTGGCACAAGGCCATAGTATAGGACACGCGTTAAAGATCGAATTCACTACTCAACAGTAATGCTCAACTAGCCAAGCTCGTTAACCCTACCGCCTACCTATGGGCTCTTAAATCTTATTGTTGCCAGTTATCTCTAATATTTTATTAGCCGTTAAATAATTTAAGTGAACCACTAATAGTAAAGGAAATATAGCGTAAAGATTAAAAGAAGTAAGGTAGCAATGATTTGTGCTATGGGGTGTGTAGTTATTGTATCAGAAAACGGGACTAGCGAGCCGAGTTCATACACCGGTCGTGGTCACTGGTTTCACTTACGCGCAAATACCGTTGACCGCAAGGAAAATCATTATAAACTGAAAAATCACCAGTACACTACAAATCACCACCTGTACCTTAAGAATAACTGCCGAATGCCTACTTATGGTTAACTTACCAACCTGCTATATATCAAGCATCTGTAATATCCATATATATATATATATATATATATATATATATATATATATATATATATATATATATATATAAAACATTAGGCAGCATATGATTTACATACAAAGAATAATCACACATAGAATTAATCAAGTAT